ACAAAGGAATATGAGGCACCGATCCATACGTACACACACACACAACTGGACCTAAGGCCTCATGCTGATCTAACGGGGAATGGGCTCACTTTCCGTCCTCACGACCCACCTGAAGCAGCAGAGCCCACAGGACTGTGATCTCTCAGAACTGCACCCCAGTGACCCCTCCTCCATCCCCTCCTCCATCCCCTCCTCTATCCCCTCCTCCATCCCCTCCACCTTCCCCTCCTCCATCTCCTCCTCATCCCCTCCTCCATCCCCTCCACCTTCCCCTTCTCCATCCCCTCCACCATCCCCTCCTCCATCCCTTCCTTCATCCCCTCCTCATCCCCGCCACCATCCCCGTGGCCTGGCAGCTCTGGCTGCAGCCCCTGCAGGCTCTGTGCGCTCAGCAAGCTCTGAGCCTGGTGACCCAGAGACCCTCACATGTGCCTCTTCGCCCGGGTCCCCAGGCACCGTCTTCCCTCCTGGTCCACAACACAAGTCAACAAGGCCTGGCATCGGAGGAGCTGATCTCCAGGGAGCGTGGAGAAAGAGGCGGAGTGAGAGGAAATGCCCACAGCAGCTGCAAAACATCACCGCATTCTTGCACATCTCAAGCTGTGTGACTGTTTTAACCTCAAAACTGAACTAAATCCATGTGAGATGTCACGAAAATAACTAAAAACTCCCCTGCCAGGGTTTAGCGAGCACAGCACAAAGCAAAGGGGGCTGCTGCCGGGCCATCGCTCGTGGGCCTCCCTCTCCAGCTCCCCCAGCACCGCAGGAGCCCGTCGGTCTCGGTGAGGACGAGAACACCCCACACTTGTGTTTTTAAGGGCATTGTAAGTGAAAGGGTTTTATACATTAAAAACCCGTGACAAGCCGCCTCGAGCCAGCAGTGTCTCGTGACAGAGCGGTTTCCAAGCTGAATTGTTTCCTGCCGAGCACGCCAGCAGACCCCGGCGTCCGCACTGTTTATTTAGACACATTTCTCTCTCTACCTCCGGAAGGTTGGCCCATCGTTCGGGAAGTAAGCCGCCCTGCCTCTCAGTGCCAAGACTCTCAGGAAGTGGTGAGGATACACACAACTTTCTCTCCATGCTATC